GGGGACAATTCAGAAATTGTTTTTGTACGAACTTGAAATATGGAAACAGCCTCGACAGGTTCACGAACTACCCGATGCTTGTTCTCACTGACGTGAGATCCACAGACTGCTGTGCACAGGGACAGACAGACAGACTTGACCTAGAGTGAGGTCCTTGGAGCAGAGCCCCTCGTGCAGTACCGTGTCCACACCCACACCCCAGAGATGTGGGAGCGAGGTTCAGAGGCTGAGTGATTTGTCCAGCTCCACAATTACTGAGAATAATACCAGAATTTGGACCAAGATCTTTTGGTTTTAACTGTCACATGCATTTTTATTCAAGGTATCTTTTACATATCCTTTATGATTTCTTTCAAAAATATGTTGAAAGCCAAAGTTTTTCAGTGTATTTCTCTTACTGTCTGAATTGAGATATTCTTACTTTTTCCAGAATATTTAACGTTCTGAGTAAACCATGTTTCCTGCACTGCAGGTCTCCTGGCGTGTAGCACACTACTGTGTCAGAGTGGTAGACTGGCACCCGTGGACCTTGTTCTTAGATTAACGTAGGAGGATTATTGTGATTTCTAGTGTCTGGTTTACCATAGCGTTAATGAAATGACTGCGTTTACTTCATAATCTGAAACTGATGGATTGTGTAGGTGCCAGAAACATCTTGTTAGGAATTCTCTTTGGGGAACCTTTCTTTTCTTATTGAAGTATAGTTGATTTACAAGTATTACGTTAGTTTGGGGGACCCTTTCTGAAATGTGTTGAAAGTAATTATTTGAAGTTCTAATAAAAATGGCTTATTTCTCTGCTTTCTCCCCCTTGAGCTTAAAGGAAGTTTTCACATCTGGAGGGGAAAAGGCATTTGGAGGAGTGAGTAGTGATGGGATAGGGCCAAGACCTGGGAACAGTGACTGTGTCTGCCTGAAACCTGGGGGCACGAGTGGAAGGGGGCTGGAGAAGGTGGGTGTGATGAGGGAGGCTGAGGACCAGGTGAGGGAGTCAGGGCTTTGTTCTGTGGTCCACAGGATGCAGACGTGAACCAGTCAGAGCCCTGCTCAGCCTGAAGAGAACCTGAACTTCGGGAGTTGTGATGGCCCCGGTGGTGGGCAGGGGCCTGGGCAGGCTGAGCGTGCAGCCTGGTGGCTCCTCTAACCTTGAGGACAAAGTGTCGGGTGGGGAAGAGAGGAGTCACGGGGGTGAAGGTGTCCAGGGATGTGGGGCGTGGGTGCCCCTTGCAGAAGAGTGGAGTCCCTGGAGGGTGCACCCGGCGGCGGACGAGGTGTTTCACTCTCTGCTCTAGTCCCCTTTTGTTTCCTCTTTTCCTCGTGCACGTCTCCGGTCTCCTTCCCCTGGTGAAGGGTTCTGTTTACAGTCCCGTTGCAGTTCTAGCAGAAACAGAAAGTCAGCAGGAGTGTCGTTTATAAATGGACGTGTTACAGCCCTCTGCACGAGCCTTGAGGTTTTCACTTACTGTCTCGGCAGTACCTCCTGAACCCCTCCCACGAGCCTTTTGGCCCAGGGGAGACAGCCAGTCTTTGCCCGATCTGGGCGTTTCACGTGCTGTGTCCTAAGCAGGGATTGATGCACACACCGTCCTGTTAAAGGCCTCAGCAGCTTGCAGCTGATCTGAGTTTGTTCCCAGGAGCAGCCTGGAATTGTCCCAGTTTCCGTCTCTGCTTGTAAGATTGCTGTTGAAGAGCAGTTTCGTGATGAGGTCACAGAAAGACCTCCTCATGGATTCAGAGTACCAGCTGGATTTTGTCCGTGTGACAGGTGATCGCTGTACCCAGAGTGCAGCAGTAATCCACACAGGGCCTTTGCCTGAAGGGCTGGCCTCTGTTTGGGCTCCGAGTGACAGCAGGGTGCCTGGGGGCACCAGGAGAGGTCGCCCATCACAGGTGGAAGGGCACTGCCGAGAGCGACTCGGACAGCTTGAGTGCAAGCCCCAGTCCTGGGCCTGTGTTTTCTCTCAGTGGGACAGCAGAACTCTGTCTCATATGGTTATGCTAATTAATGGGAATAAAGTGCTTATACCAGTGCTCTAAAGCGTTGGCTGATCTTACCAGTCCTGCCCGAAGATGGGAAGCTGAGGCCCAGGGTCTCAGATGGTGATGGCTCCATCTCCAGCTCCAGAGGGTGGCAGTGTCCCCAGTGCATTTCCCCTCAGTTCACGTGGATCTGAAGCTAGTGGTGCTTAATAAATGTTGGGGAAGAGATCCAGTCTTGATCTCTGTCCTGTTCTTGCCTAAGGAGAGTTCATCTTTGTTTCCTGCTTTGAATGTCTCTGGACCTTTACCCACCTTCCTGCTGACTGCTGTGAACCCGCCCACATGCTCCGTCTGGACACTGGCTGTCTTCTGGCTTTTGTGAGAGCTGGTTTTCGGTCCTGCAGACGTGGGACCTCAGCAGTGCCAGCACTGAGTGTCGCTGTGTGTTTCTCTAACTGCCTGTGATTATCCGCACCAAGAAGGAGCCCGTTCCAGCAGCAGCAGGCTGTGCTTCCAGTGGGCCTGTGGGTCACGAGCAGGACGCCTTGGCCACTACCCTGGCTTCTCCTGTGGTACCAGGTCATGCTAACTTGCAGTTGCATATTTTATTGATGGCTTTTTGTTACTGGAACATACCTTTAAGCTACCTCAAATTTCATTCACAGTGACGTTAGATAGAAACTAATGATTGAAATATGCACACTTGTATTTTAGTCTCTTGTAATGTTCTGTTGTTTGAAGCTATTCTCCTTTTATTGAATTGATTCATTCCTTTTAAAACTATTGAAAACTTGGGTTGTAAAGTCTGTCTTTCAGCCTGTGAGAGTAAATGTGCACAATGTTTGTGTGTAAACAGTTTTCTGGGGAAAGGAGTGAGGGGTCTGTAACAGGTGGGCACTGCCTGCAGCTCCGTGTCGCTGGGCCGTATGTGAGTGCTGTGACTACGCTTCCCAGAGGAAGTACGCGGCCACCCAGGGGCCTGGAAGGGGTTAAGGCTGAGATTAATTCCAGGAAGCATATTTGAAAAAAAGGGATGGGTAACAGGATTGAGATTGAAAGATAAACGCGAGTGTCTGTATGTACAGGCACTGTTTACCCACGGCAGCTCGAAAGTGTGTGCTTAGTTTAGCTCTGCTTCTTCCCAGAGCTGCACTGCGATGTCAGCAGATGGAGGAAGTATGAATCCCCAGGACAGGAGAACGGGAGAAACAGTGAAGTGTAGCTATGTTGTGAGGTGGATGATTAGAGGCACCTCACTGAGCCAAGGAGAGAAAGGTGACAGAAGACAGTGCTGACGAAACCACAGGGGTGGGTGCGGCCTCTAGGAAATGGTGAGGCACATCGTCCCCTTGACCCGTGTTTGCTCTCTGTAGAAATGGAATGAAGAGCTTCCGGGGCCAGGACAGTGGGCAGTACTGTGCCCCAGGGCAGTAAATCAGAGCACACACGCTGGAGGCTGAGAACAGCTCCAGCCCCAGCGATGACCCTGTGTTTAGTCATAAGACAGGACTGGAGGGCCCTTTGAGCAAATGGAATAGCCCGGGTGAAAAAGGGCCTACTGGAACGTAGAGCTAGTGATGCCTCTGCCGTAGGAAGAGATACTTGCAGCTCCTTCAGTGGGAACAAAGAAAAAGTTGTAAAAGTTGACAGAGGAGAAAAGAAAAAAAACAGACTTTATATAAAGATTATAGCATCAGGATGACATTTAATAATTTAACTTCTCAGCAATAGTAACTGACATGGAAGGCAACAAACACAGATTTCAAATAAATGTGTTTATACAAATTAAAAAATGTTTAAGTTTACAAGTAATTTTTCTTAGAATTCTAAGGTCCAGTTTATAAATATACATGCAAATACCATGTAACTAGTATTTTCATTGTAAGACTTGCCAGTACTCAAATCTCATAAACTTTGTGCATCTATTTGATAACAATACAGAGTAATTTTTTAAAAGATCATTTGTAGACATAACGAGGAGGCTTGGCGCTGTAAACAGTTCAGTGACAAAAACCATGAACAATGTTAACATGCTTGCTAGATGAAGAACTCATGGAACCCAACATAAGGCTGCAGGGTGGGTGTCTTTGGTGCAGTTCCAACATAGCTAACCTGCTAAGTGGGGCCCACAGGCATTCCATCGGTAAGTGAGGTGCAGAAGCCACCAGCATAGGAGGAGGAGCACGTCTCAGGGGTGAGCGGCCGACTCCCACAGAGCGTCCTGGAAAACCGGGGACTGGACGGTTTTCTGTTTAAACTGCTATCTCTGGTTTACTTTCTATCCAGCACCATCGGCCCTTTTCGGATAAAGCAACAGTTAATGTTTCATGCTCATTGCTCAGAATTACTAGATTTCTACACTATAGTGATGAAATCTTTCCCATAGTCCCCTGTTGTGTCTACAGGTGCTCTTGGCTGCCCTGGTTCTGCGTTAGTATCACGCTCTCCGGCGTTCTGTCAGCTTTTGACCGACACCACTGAATCATTTTTATCTGACTGTGTTAACAGTTTTGGTAATTCTTCAAAACCATATCGAAATATAATTTGTTTGATAACTTAGCATCAAATGAAGTAAGAGTCCAGAGTTTGACATTTTGAATGAAAAAAGATGGAAGTTCATGCTCAATCCTGGTTACCTGAGTTATATCGTCAAAGTATCCTATGCGACATATTTTACAGTACCTTTAATGATAAATGTAATTTTAAAAACTTGTTGCTTGTGGCTGACTCTGCATGTCCTCATATGACGTAACAGACATTTGGGGCATGAAGGAGCCCGCACTGGGTCTCTAAAGGCTGTGGTGTCTGGGCGTGAGCCACGGCCTGCCCTGCACGCTTCTCTGCCTTCCTGTCCGGCATCCCTGCTGTGCAGCCTCCGTGCCCGCTCCCAGGCAGGCTCCAGCTTGGCTGTGGGAAAGCAGCGGGTCAGGCCTTTCTTCTGCCGAGTGATTGGCTTCGCGAAGTGAATTGACTCCTGCTGCCAGTGAACCTCACCTGACTTTGCTGTTTCCCTTCACCCAGGGGTGGATCAGGCTTTGCCTCCAGAGCGCCGGGCTCCTGTCACTCCTGCCTCTTCCTCTCGCTATCACCGCCGACGGTCCTCAGGGTCACGAGATGAGCGCTACCGGTCGGGTAAGGCGCCAGATGTGGGTGGGAAGCCACTGACGCTGGTCTGTGACGTGGTACTGGTGGAGTGGATGAGTGGGTGCACATCTGCGGAAGCTGTGTGATCACAGTGCAGTGAATTTGGATGTCTTGGTGGTGGTGTGATTGACAGATGACACCTTACCTCAGACAGAAATACACCCTCTAGAGTACAGGAAAATTCAGTAAATCCGTGACTTTTTAAAATATTTTTAAAGATAGTGATGTCCATTATTTAGAATTTCACAGTAATTTAAACAGTACAAGTCTCTTTTTTTTAACATTTTTTATTGATTTATAATCATTTTACAATGTTGTGTCAAATTCCAGTGTTCAGCACAATTTTTCAGTCATTCATGGACATATACACACTCATTGTCACATTTTTTTCTCTGTGATTTATCATAACATTTTGTGTATATTTCCCTGTGCTATACAGTGTAATCTTGTTTATCTATTCTACAATTTTGAAATAAGTCTCTTATAAGCAAAATTTTGCTCATTTTTTAGGTGTCACTTGAAAAGTTTGGATTTACTTTGTATAAACTTGGTTGCTAGTAATTTTTCCCTTTCTTTTAATCTCAGTGATTTCTGGTTTTAAAGTGCAATTTTCAAAAAAGAAATAAAATCCTTAATATTTTGTATGTTCTCTGTTTATTTCCTTTGCGTTTTATGATGTGAGTAAGAATGCTGTCTTGCTGTTCCGCTTTATTGCAGTCATCACCTGGCTTAAATTTCTTTCACTAATTTGGCATCAGAAAACTTGTATTGTGTTACTGCTGTCTGAGGTATTTTTTTTCCCAGCATCTAGATTAAAGTTGCTTTTTTCTGCCCCCCTACTACAATCTTTAAGAGAAGATCGCGGTAAATGTTGCTGGCATGCAGCAGTTCAGGGCATGTGTGGATTGCGGACGATGACAATCCAAAGCATAGCATTTCTGTGTCACTTCACATTTTGCAAAGCACTTGCAAGGACCTTATCTCACGTAGTTTTTATAACAGAAAGGTGAGGTGCTTCTGACAGTTTCATGTTGCAGAAGAGGAAGCTGAGGCTACAGGAGGTGAAATGGCTCAGTCAGCTCTCACCAGGGCTGGATGGGTCAGCCCTTTAAACCTCTCAGTACCGTGTTTTGTGGATCTTTCCATTAATGGATGCTTCCAAGATACACCACCACGGTCTCCACCAAGGAGGTGTGTGCCTGACTTCATGGCCCTGCTCTCCTTTCTGGGAGGGAAGAAGGGGCAAGACAGATGTCCATGGCGTCGGGAATCTTTATCTGCTGAAGCAAGAGAATGGACTCGAGACGCTAGGAAGAGGCCCAGAGCAGCCTCGCTGCTGCTCCTTCTACCTTCTTGGCCCTCCCAGGAGGCCTGGTGCCTGGGACAGCATGTGAGGGTGGAATGAAGGCAGGAGTTGGTTCCCAAATCCACCTTCCGTTTTCTTCAGAGGTATTTTAACACCTAGCACATTACAAGACCCCATCTTATTCAAATGTCTCGCAGGCCCCTTTCAAATCATTAGGAGAGTAGAGGCGCACACACATGCTGTAAACGTGCTGGGGAATGCTTCCATATCACACACACGTGCACACACTGGGACACACACAGGCAGCACACACGTAGACACAGTAGACACACACAGACATGTATGTAGACATGCATTTAGACACACAGGTAGATGCATGTTTACTGTCATCCGTATCTTCAGTTCTCACAGAAACTAGTCAGGTGTTTTTATTTCCGTGTTGTAAATGAGAAAATTGAAGTTCAGTGAAGTATGTGATTGTTAATGATAATTAACTCATCAAACAGGATGCAAATCTAGCTTTGTCTAGCTCTGTAATCTGACTTCTTACTTCATAGAAGATTATGTCTTGTATTCATTTCTGACCTGTAACTTTCAGTGTTAATTTTTAATTAGATGTAAATTAAATCATGGTACCATCTGTTTTCTACGTTAGATATCTTTCCTGACAATGAGGGTAGGGGACGATAGGCCCTTCTAGTCTGTGTGATCCTTGGTAAGGTGTGCTGTCTTCTCCAAATCCTCCTCGTCCTTTTAGGAAATAGGTCAGACAGGTGTTTTTCTTTCCGAGTACAAACCTTGAGAGAGGCCGCCAGCGTGCAGGCGGAGGTGGAGCTCTCTGTGCCCAGGCACGGATCCCCTTGCCTGTGCCGCCCCTTCGTGGGCGGAGGAGACGTGGGCAGAGGCACTGAGTCGGGTGGCTGTGGAGCAGAGTGGAGGGTGACTTCAGGGGACTGACCATCACCGGTCAGCAGAGACACGGCCAGCACAGCCCTCTGAGCAGGGGACTGGACCTGTCGTGTCTGGCCCACCTCAGGCCCTACGTTGGAGTCACTTAGCTTCTCATGAGTGTCATTATCCCCCGATTTGTCTGTCAGTCACCTGTTATCTGTCTGTCATCTACCAGTCGTCTGTCTCTCTCCACTCTGTCTGTCCATCCACCTCCCGTCATTTGTCTGCCTTCATGTGTACTACCTACCATAAGAATGTCAGGCCCACAGAGACAAGGATCTTTGTTTTGTTCATTTGTGTATGCCAGGCATCTAAAATACTGCCCCGTTAATGGCTTTTGAATGAAAGGAGGCTGATGAGGGAGGAGGGCACATCTGGGGAAAAGCAAGAAATTAGGTAGGAGGGGCCAGATTTTAAGGTCTTTTATATGCTGTGCTTGGCATTTGGGCTTTATCCTGAAGATGATAGGGCACCATGTGGAGATTACTTTGGTAGCATTGAGGAGAATGGAGTAGAAATGGAGGAGTTGGAAGGACCTGAAAACCTGAGATCGATACATGTTTAGGAGCTGAGTCAGTGCCAGTGACTCTTGAGATGGTACAGAATAGCTCTAGGACATGAGGGCGGGGGTGTGGGAGAGGGGATTGGGGTGACTCCTGACGTCTAGCTTGTATCGCTCTGCAGACGATGGTCTCTGGGTCTGCCTCTGTTTAGAGAATTAAGGTTTCCGCCTGAAGGTTAAAGGTGGTGAAACTGGCCTCAGCTGTTCACTTACCGTACAGAGAATACTCTGAGAAATTGTGTAGACGTTCCTTGAAGTGTCATGTAAGATGTGAAAAATATTATTCTGTATATACTGTGGTAATTTTTTAAAATTTATGCTTCTTGACTTTGAATAAATGATGCCGGGTTAATTTACATAAGGAGCAAGCATATTCAGAAGATCCTTCATATGCTTGTGAAAGCTCGACTGGCTTCTCATTTTCTGAGCCGAATCAGAACACCGCCCCTCGTGTAGCCCGGCGGCCTCCCAGAAGGGGGGGTCTGTGGGACGTTGCTGGGGCTCATTCGGTACCTTGCTCACTGTGTTTACCTGCTGTTTCCTGTGTTTAAGATATTCTAGTCAGTTTTCTTCTTTTAGACATTTCACTGACGTACTGTTAAGTCGCTTTCTCTTAGTGTTGATGCTCGTGTGTCATTTTTTAAAATGTATTAAATCTTAAAAGCTTGTTTTGGTCTGTGCTGGTGTACGTGTTTCAGGATTTTCTGGGGTTTTTTTCTCCCAAGCCACCATGGAAGATTTAAGACATTCAAGAGAAGAACTTTTGTGGCCCTTGGGAGATTTGCTTTCTAAGATTCTTTGACCAGTGGAATTACGTAGTTGCTTCAGTGACCAAATTGTATCAGCCAAGAAGTGATTCTATTATCTTTCAGATAATTGACCTAATTAATAGTCTTGTCAACGATACAGCCTCAAATTTAATATCTCATGGCTATATGTTTTCATTTCATTTCTAAAACCCTGGCTTTACATTGTAATGACCTTGCACGAGAATTCTTCAGAGTAGTGTGCACCTCTCTTCCTTTTAAATAACTTAATTTGGAAACTTAAATTTGATTTGGAACGTGAATGAATAAATGAACAGGCATTTACTGAGTACCTCGAAAATGTCAAACTCTGTATTAGGCACTTTATTACTTTTACTTGATAAAGTCTAGTTTGAGCTTTAAAAAATTCTAACTATTTTTAACACCTTCTCCTCTCGAGCAAAAACCTTAGAAAAGAAAACGTTGAGACTCGTGTTGTTTCTATTCCAGCTAAGACTGACTATGACAAGAAAGACTATTAAAACTAAAATGCGACATATGATTTCCTGTGTTTTAAGTGATTGCTTTGTTTGGTTGAGGTTAGGAACAGTTTGAAAACCTACATCTCATACTTTGTGTTGTGCCTGGACAGGAGCACCTGCCTCTCAGCTCAGGCATCCTGGTCTCGCCTGTGCTCATCTCAGGGAGACTGTCTTCCCTGGGACAGTGAGCTCAAGAGAGTTGAGGGACCTGTGGGGGATTCAAGACCCTTTCTGGTATGTCTATGAGGTCAGACCATTTTCAGAGTAACACTCACACGTTACTTGCCTTTTTCATTCTCATTCGTTTGTGAATGAACAGTGGGTTCTTCCAGAGGCTGCCTGACACGTGATGATGTTATCATTCTGACAGCCAGTGGAATCTGTGATTGTGAAGTCTTGTGTTTAAAAAAGTTTTACAGTTTCCTTTCTAGTGCAGTAAATATCAGAGTATTAATCCCATAAGTGAAACTTGTGAAGGTTTTCAGCAGTTTTTGAGTTTAAGGTGTTCTTTGGGTCAAAGAGTTTGAGAACCATTCCTATGAGAATTGAAAAATGTAATTTTTTAAATAAAGAATTGAGAGAAAGTATGAACTAGAAACTTCACCTTCTGAACCCATCCTTGAAGCTGACTTTATGCTGGTGACAGTTTAAAGTCTGATTCATAGCAGTGATCAGTGTCTGAGAATAGGGCCTTGTATCCTAGTATTCATTCATTCAGCAAATGTGTGAATAGTTTTGTATACTGAGCACTCTGCTACGCACTACAGATGAGGCATAAGTACAGAAATCGCGTTTGCTTCCAGAGTTAGTTTACCCTGTGGAGCTCTTCCCTAGCTTCACAGTCAAGGAGCCACTCAGTCTTTTTGTCCTATTGTCATTCCTGCCCCATTTGGTTGTCTGTTGTCTGTCTTCAACCAGTTAGAGAGGAAGCTGCGAGAGACACAGTACCTTGTCTACCTGAGTCTGCAGCCTGAGGGCTCTACCTCACAAAGTGGGTATTAAACGTTAGTGGAGTTAGTGTAACAGGTTTATGTGTACAGGGTGCTTAAAACGGCGACTACCCCATAACTGATGCTTGGAAAGTGTTAGCTTAAATCATGACCTAACAACCAGTGGGTATACATAACTTCCCTTGATAGAACTTTGAAATGAATTATGAAGCTTAAACATGTGGCCTGTGAAGAAATATTTGAAGATCGAGGTCCATTCACTCTAAGAAACGAAAAATTCACAGCAATTTACATCCAGTGTTTGATTATTTATACAGATTCTAGGGTAATAACTGAATAGTTATAGTCTGCAAATGAATTCAAATGCCTTTTTCCTGAAGCTTTCAAACTAGCAGGTTTGCACTCACTTTCCTCCCTTCTCTGCCCGTCCACTGGCGACAGCTCCTGTTGGGAGGCAAACTGTCTCACAGGGCCAGAAGGAAAGTACAAGAGCTTGGGGCCTTCAGGGTGTCCCTGAGCAGTGGTGTGATTGAGCTCGCTCTTTGTTTCAGATGTCCACACAGAAGCTGTTCAGGCTGCGCTTGCTAAACACAAAGAGAGGAAGATGGCAGTGCCTATGCCTTCCAAACGCAGGTCCTTGGTGGTGCAGACCTCGATGGATGCCTACACACCCCCAGGTGAGCAGCAGGCCTGTCTGCTTCATGAAGTGACGTGACCAGCCTGCCTTAGAATTAAGCCACTGCCAGCAACAGCAGTCTTCTTAGCTTTCAAAATCGTGGTGCTGTAGTACAGATTTTGAGAACCAGAAGTCCAGAAACATAAATGCTCTGAATTAAATTTGGACAGAAAATTTACATCATTTATGTATATGTCTATATATATGTGTTTTAAACTTTTCTTTAGACTTAGAAATACGATACAGACTTTTAAAATCCTGTAAAATTTTATCTTATTTTTCACATAGCAAGAGAAGAGTTTGTACATCCGTTGTACTAACTGAAGTTGGACTTCTCTTCTGCTTAGACTGACTGATACATTCATATTCTCAAGTCTTAAAAATGTCAGTAAGTTGTAATGTTGTATTAATAAGCTGAATGAATTGGAAAGTGTAGACAGTTACCCAAATCTGGGGTAAACAATTTTCCCTGTAAAGTGCAGGTGGTTTTTTGAGGTGTCACAGCTGCTGGCTCTGCCACTGTGGTATAAGAGCGGCCATGGTAGCACGTCAGTTAAAGGCGTGGCAGTGTGCCAGTAAAACTTTATTCACAAAAACAGGCAGAGTGTTTGGTCCACAGACCTGCCAAACTCTGATCTAAATGATTGAAGGTAATATCTCATTTAGATTTCTGCTTTTTGTTTAATTTTGAATTTTATACAGCTACCTAAGATCTCTGCTTAACTCTGCCCAAATAATTATAACCTATATGATCTTCAAAACTGAAGTGAAGCCCACAGTTAAATTGTTCAGGTATCTATGAGAAATACGAAGGATTGAGCCTAATTAACTTGATGGGTTTTGTGTGTTATTCTGGTTCCAACATTGTTCATGTTGTTGTTGCCACTCTGTCTTTTCTGCAGACCTAAGTTACCTGGCACACCACTTTTGTTCACAAGAGAAACCTAAGGTGCAGTAAGAATAGTTGAATATATGACACTTCTTGGAGTCTTTTGAAGTTTAGACCTGAGTATTTGCGAGCCAGTGAGAGCAATAGAAGCACACACTTCAACTCGGAATGTGGTCAAGTATATTCAGCACTGCTTCAGACAACCCCTAAGTCTTCAACCTTACAAGCATTAAAAGGGAAAGGCCTGAGCTTTGTAAGACAGAACTTAAATAGTACAAAGCTTAGTTGTTTTGTTTTTTATTAGTACATAATACAACAAATGTTCTTCATCTCAAGAATATAATAATCTAATAAGAAAGAGAGTCCTTTTGCCAATTTCCTTACTCTCTTTCCTTTCTTTATACTGAGCCACAAAATGTAATTTGGACTGTTTTAAAATCAGCATAATTAATATGCTTAATCCTATTTGTTTAGTTTATGGTTATAATTTGCCAAAATTTATAATGTGAAAATTTTAATTTTGTATGTATTTTGTATAACAAGTAGAATGGACTTAACAAGGAAAACAAAGCCACTTAAAATATTCTAACCAAATCTTTGGAACTAAACAATATTCAGGGAGGTGGACATTCTTCTGAGCCACTTCCTATAGGAAGTGCTGCATCTAAAGTACAAGGTGCAATGTGTTTTTTCCGCACGTGTTCATCCTCAGCGATGTGACTGTGTCATGCATGATGAAAGACAAAACATTCAGGAGAACAAACTTTGTACAAATGTCTTTGCAAAATATAGAAGAACATTATTGGAAACGTTTTCAGTGAAACATCTGCATTTGACTATTTTCATGCACACCGTATAATACATTTTGTAAGCTGTCATTCGGGAGTCCTAGTGACAGTACCACACGGGGTAGGTTTGTACGGTCATAAATGCCAACACCATCATAAGCACTTTTACTCAGCCCATTTTGTGCTTAGCAGTGGTCTACATACTTGTGACTGTGCTTGCATGAACAAAATCTTGGCTTAGCTTCCTTTTCTCTCATTCTGTTTTCCTTGGTTGCTGATAACATTTGTTAGAACTCATCTCGTGTCCAGTTCTCTTCAGAGAATATTCCTGAAGTTTATATTCTCTTTATGAAGTGACTGGTTGCTGATTAGCATCATGGTTTCTGGGAAAGACACAATTAGGATTATTGCAGTGCTATTCTTTTATAGGGGAAACTTTGCTGTAGTTTTTCACATATAAAATAGAAGAATATGTCAGCACTTTTGCTTCCAGCCATAAAGAAATAACTGATAACCAGACTAACCCATACACCATAAATAACTATAAAACTGCACAAATCAGACGACTGTTTGTACACTGTGGACCTCATTCATGGAATCAAATGAAAATATGTCAAAGAACTAAATAAAAATGTAGTCTTAATACTTGAACTGAGCAGAGAAAGGAAAAAAATTTTTTAACAATAGAAACTACAGAAATGAAAAAATATAATAAAAAAATGAAATTCTCTGGATTGATTCACTGGATCAGTTTAAAATCAAATTGGAGAAGTGGAATAAAAGAGTCTGTGAACTTGAAGAGTGATCAGAAGAAATTAATTAAACTGAAGAACAGGGAGACCAAAGATTAAAGAAAACTTAACAGAACCTCCAGCATCTGTGATATGTCAACATACTTGTAATTGGAATCCAAGAAGGAAAAGAGAGTGAGAAAAGGGAAGAAAAACTATTTACAGAAATAAGGGTCAAAAACTTCTCAGATTGATGTAAGACTCCACCTCACAAATACCAGTTTGGTGAATCCCATACAAATGAAGTACAGAAAGAACCATCCCTAAGTTCATAACAGTCCAAGTGCTGAAATCCGAAGATTAAGAGGAAACCTTGAAAGTAATCAAAGGAAAACAGACACGTTGCCTACAGGAGAACAATCGTATGAAGTATACATACTTATGTGAAGATACAGTAAAGGCTGGAAGATGATGGAAAGACATTTTAAAAGTGCTAAAAGGAAAAAACCAAAACTGTCCACTCATACTCAGTGAAGGTATCCTTCATGCATGAAGGTGAAACAGAGGCACAATGAGACGCCTGAGAGCTGGGAGGATGTGCTGCCCCCAGAACTGCAAACCAGATGCCATTCAGGCAATGGGAGGTCATGGCAGGTAAAAGCTGCATCTGTGGAAAGGAAGGAACACTGGAAGCAGTAAATAGCTGGGGAAACATAAAACACTCTGTTTTTCCCTTGTAATTTTCTTTATAACAACAACTGCACAGAAGACAAGGCCAGGCAAATGGAATTATACTGTTGTATAGTTACTATGTTTTTGAAGTAGGAAGCAGAATGTGGAAAGAAGGAAATGAATAGTGTTAGGTGTGATGTGAGTACAAGTGGGGAAAAAGTTTGTAATGTCAGATTTGAAGAGCAGTTACATTATTGACCCCATGTAGACTCATCAGAGATTCATATTCTTCGCCCTAGAACAACCATTACAAAAATGAAAAGAGGTAGAGATAAGACTTTAATAGAGGACATAAAATGAAATTCGTTAAAAAATGTTAAAAAAAAACAAAAGGAAGGAAAAATCAACAGAAAAAGATAAAAATCAGAGGAATGAATAGACAACAAGTAGCAAAATGTTAGGTTTAAAGCCACTCATCAGTGATTACAATAAATGTAAATGGACCAAATGCCCACATTAAAAGATAGAGTTTGTCAGACTGGATGAAAAAAACAGGAAGCTACAGCTGTATGTTGTCCACAAGAGACAAATTTAAGTATAAAAACAAGGATAGTTTTAAAAATTATGAAAAAATACGCACTGGAAACATCAAGCATAAGAAAGTGAACAAAGCTGTATTGGCATCAGACAAGGTAGACAACAAGACGCAGTACAAGATGCAAAGAGGACTGTTGCACAGTGGAAAGCGAGCAGTTCACCAGGAAGACATAACAATAAATACTCATATACCTAAAAATAGAGCGTTACAGTTTACAAAGCAGCAACTGGCACAATGAAGGGAAAATAGAAGAATCAGAGCTAATAGTTGGAGATTTAAAAATAGCCTTTTTTTGTGTGTTTCTTTTTCCAACTTTTTATTTTTAAAAATTTTAAGCCTTCAGAAAACTTGAAAGTAAAATTGACACAGGTATACTTTTCACCCAAATTAAACAATTATAACAATTTGGCCATATCTGTGCTCTTTTACACACACACACAAACACACACACTGTTGCAATCATCCTGACACTTCACATCTAAATACTTTGTCATCTGTCTCCTTAAAATGGACACTCTTACGTAACAACAGTACATCATACATAAAATTTTAAACACAAAATACCCTTCTTAAATAATCGTAAATTTACCAAAACAACACTATCAACCAACTTGATGCAGTTGATGCTCACAGAGTGTTACACCCAACTATTGCAACCGTACAGTCCTTTTGAATACCTTTCTTGGGGTATAATTTACATCTCATAAAACTTAGCACCTTGTAAGTGTGTAATTTAATGATTTTTAGTAAATAAATAGATTGTGCAGTCATTCCTGCAATGCAGTTTTAAAGCAGTTCCACACCCCCCAAAAGTTTCCTTGCGCCCATTTGCAGTTAATTCTCATCCTCTCACCCAGCACTAGGGGGCATTTGATCTGATTTACACGCCTCTGTGAATATTCTAGACGTTTTGTAAATGAATTCATAAAATAGGTCCTTCTGTATCTTCTTTAGCATGTTTTTGAGCATCCATTCTGTAGCATTGGTAGCTCCTTCCTTCTTCTTGTTGAATTATAACAGATACACCACGTTTTGTTTATCCGTTCACTAGTTGGTGGATATTTAGCTTGTTTCCAGTTTTTGGCTATTATGAATAATGCTGCTGTTAACATTTATGTGCGTATATTTGTGTATACATGTAATTTTATTTATCTTGGGCAGATTCCTAGGAGTGGAAGTAATGAGTCTTATGGTAAGTTTATGTTTAACCTGTAAGAAACTGCTCAGTTGTTTCCATAATGACTGCACCATTTTATATTCCCACCAGCAACGCATGAAGATTCCAGCGTGTCAGCGTCCTTGCCGGTACCTGGCGTTGCCCTTACTTTTTTAATAGCCATTCTAATGGATATGAAGTACTATTTCATGTGGTTCTTGTTTCCCTAATGACTGATGACAATTAGCATCTTTTCATCTGCTTATTAGCCACTTGCATATAGTCATTGGTGAAGTGTCTGTTCAAATTTTTGACCCATTTTTAAAACGAGTTGTCTGTCCTCTCACTGGTTAAGGGTTCTTTATGTAATCTGAATACAAGTGCTTTCTCAGATACACAGATTGCAAACTGTGGTTTGTCTTTTCTTAATGTTGTCTGTGATAGACAAAATTAAGGCCCCCTCCAAAGATATCCATGTCCTAATTCCTAGAATTTGTGAACATATCACCCTACATTGTAAAAAGGATTTGGCAGATAAGATTAAGTGAAGGGTCTTGAAATAGGGTGGTTATCCTGGATTAACCAGGTGGGTCCACTACAGTCAAAGAGGTCCTTATTCATACAGAGAAAGACAAGTACTATATGATTTTGCCTAATATGAAGAATCTAAAAAAAAAAACTCATGGGAAGAGGGATCAGATTTGTGGTTACCAGAGGCAGGAGGTGGTGGGAGGGGGAATTGGAGGAAGGTAGGCAGAAGGTAAAGATTTCCAGGTGTAAGTATGAGGGGTGTGATGTGCAGTGTGGCACCTGTAGCTAATGCTGCTGTCTGGTACATATGAAAGCTGTTAATAAAATCCAAGAGTTCTCACCATTTTATATGAGATGAGGGGTGCTAACTAAACTTACTGTGGTAATTATTTCATAATATACGTAAGTCAAGCTATTATGCTGTACATCTTAAACTCACAGTGGTGTAGGCCAAGTATATTTCAATAAAACTAGAGGGGAAAAAGATCCTTAGAGAGGGAAGAATGTCAGAGTCCAAAAAAAAAGAAAAGAAAAGAAAAGAAAAAGACGGTGAACCCAAGGTGGGAGCGATACACTAAGAACAGATGAAGGGCCGTGGGCCAGGGATGCAGGTGACGCAGGCGGCCTTGAGTAGGCAGTTCTCCCTAAAGCCTCCGGGAAGAATGTGTCCCTGCCGACACTTTGATCTTAGACTTCTGGCTTCTGGAACTGTAAGGTAATAAATACATGCGCTATTGTAAGCCACCGAGTTTGTGGTGACTTGTTCTGTTATCCCCTAGGAAAATAATTGCATCTTTTGAAGCTTAAGGGTCTTTTATTTTGATGAAGTTCAGTTCATCAGTTATTTTATGGATTGTGCTAGGGGAAGTTTTAGACGTTTCATAGTTCTTTCAGTTAGGTCTCTCTGATCCACTTTGAATTAATTTTTGTTTGTGAGGGTAGGTAAGGGTCTGTGTTTTTTTGTTTGCTTGGTTTGGTTTTCGGTAAGTGAACAGCTAGTTGACCAGCAACATTTGTTGAAAAGATAATCTTTTTCTCACTGAATTATCTTGGGACCTTGGTCAAAAATAAACTGACCACGACTGCAAATGTAGAACTTTATTTCTGGGTTCAGTTCTGTCCCATTGATACACATGCTTGTTTATGTTTTGGTATCACTATCTTGAGTACTGTAACTTTATGGTAAGTTTTAATTTCAGGTAGTGAAGTTCTCCGTCTTTCTCAAAATTATGTTGGCTCTTCTCGGTCCTTTGCATTTCCAAATAAATTTTAGAATAAGCTTTCAATTTCCTAAAACACAAAGTCTCCCAGGATTTCACTAGGTACTGTCTTTGTGTTTTTGGTTAGATATGTTGCTAAGTGTTTCATTCTTTCAGATACTGTTGGGGCTGGAATTGTTTTCTTATTTTTATTCCCTTATTGTTCAGTGCTGGTATCTGTACAGAGATATTCTGTTTCTTTGTTTGGTGGTCCTGTGAATTTAAGAAGTCAGATGTATAACCAATAACCATGCAGCTCTTTTCACCTGACGTAGTGACAGCTCATGCTGACTGGTTGGATGGCTGGGTTTTGACTTCTGGCCACTAGATCAAAATGTGCTTTTTCTCTGGGAGATGGGAATAATTTGCAATCTGTCCAGCCAGAAAAGGGAGTGTGTGTTTGAGGGTGTTGACGTGTGTCTGCTTTGATAAGTGACGCCTTGGTGTTCTCACTGTGTGTGCTTGTCCCACTGCAGAGGTTCACCTTGTCCCACCGTCCCTAAGTCTTCTCAGTGGAGGCAGCCCCCATTAAGGAACTTTCTTGGGAGCTCCACAGAGCTTTTCATTACAGCCCACCTCTGTCTTTAAAGAGGACTGGAAAATTCGCTGGGCATGTTGATGACTCTGGCAATGTAAAGGCAGTTCTGGAGACTGAGGAGTCCAAGATCAAGGTGTTGGCATTCGGTGTCTGGTGAGAGCTCTCTTCCTGGTGGTTGGCCATATTCTCACTGAGTCTTTACATGGCAGAAGGGCTAGCTCATCTAGTAATTCAGTAATTTTTCAGTGTGTTCCATCTGTGAATAACGATGGTTTTACCACTTCCTTTCCAATCCGGATGCTTTTAATTTTTTCTTTCTTCTGTATTTTTCTGGCCAGAACCTGCTGGATAACGTTGAACAGAAGTAGCAAGAGGGGGCTTCTTGCCTTATTCTTACCTGAGGGGAAATGTGTGTAGTCATTTCCCTTTACGTGCAGTGTCAACTGCGGGTCCTCACGATGCCTTTCACGGGGCTGACGACGTTCCCTTCTGTTCCTGCCTTGTTAAGAGGCTTTATCACGAGTGCGTGTTAAGTTTTAGGAAATATTCTTTCTGTGACTTAAGCGTAACTTACCGTTTTCCTCTCTTTATTCTACTAACATGGTATATGGCATTAATTCACTTTTGAGTGTCAAATCAACCTTAATTCACTCTCATATGTATAATCCTGGTCACCACTTGGTCACGGTGTCCTGTACATTTTATATGTTGCTCAGTTCTGTTTGCTAGTATTTTTGAGAATTTTTGTGTCTGTATCATGAGTGATACTGTTCCGTAGTTTTCTTATGAAAAGAAGGGGTGATGAATGAAAGACTGATTCGTAAGGGAACGTGAGGAAACTTTGGGGGTGGTGGTGATGTGAAGTGTGGATACGTGGTTATGTACATTTCTCAAGAGTCTTAAATCTGAGGAGTTGAATAGATATTTTTCCAAAGAAGATTCACAAGTGACCAGTAATCACATGAAGAAATACATAAGATCACTGATCACTAGGGAAATGCAGATCAGCACTGCAGTGAGATATAGCTTCACACCCACGAGTACGGTGATGATCAAAACACCAGAAAATTACAAGCGTTGGTAAGTACATAAAGAAACTGGAACCCTTGTGCACTGTTGGTAGAAATGAGAGATGGTGCAGCCTCTGTGGAAACAATATGGCAGTTCTTCAAAAAATTAAAAATAAATTTACCATATGATCCAGTAATTCCACTTCTGAGTACATACTCAAAAGAATTTAAAGGAGGATCTTGAAGAGATACTTATATACCTATGTTCACAGCAGCATTATTCACAACAGCTAAAACATGGAAACAACCCAAGTGTCCACGGCAGATGAATGAATGTCAGAATGTGGTCTGTACACACCATGGAATATTATTCAGCCTTAAGGAGGAAGGAAGTTCTGACACATGCTACCAATGAATGAACCTGAGAACATTATGCCAAGTGAAATAAGCCAGTCACAGAAAGACAAATAGTGTGGGATTCCACTTGCATGAGGTGCTTAGAGTCGTCAACGTTGCATAGTAAGTAGAAGGTTGCTTGTCATGGGTGGGGGAGGTGGCACTGGAAAGTCACTGTTTAATTGTTAAATGTTTCAGTTTTGCAAGATGAAATGAGTTAACGTGGATGGATGGTGATGAAATGAGTTATGGGGAGGTTGTACAGCAGTGTGAATGTATTTAATACCAATGAACTGTATACTTAAAAATGGTAAAAATTTATGTTAAATGTATTTTACCACAATTATTTAAAAAATTGAAAAAAGTCTTAGGTTGAATACAAAAAGTATACATTTTCTTCTTATGTAAATTATAATTCTAAGTTATTGTAAAAAGCAGGGCAAGGGGAGAGAATTGGTTACTCTCCTAATGTTGTTGTTGCCCCTCTAACAGATTTCTCACAAATAAACTTTAAAAAGTTCTGGGCGGCATAGGCCACATCACTGTGATAACAAAATACTGGTTTAAGTATCCTTTACAAACATTGTTGTGTTAAAGAAAAAGTTGTGTGTCTTGATTTAAGACAAATTACCATCTCTCTTATTCTCATTAAGTGTTCTAGACCGACTCCCATCGGTTCTTCCTCCTGGCATCTCACGTAACTCACCTATATGTAGGGTCCTGAGTGTTATTCTTACACTGAAGTTTAAAAAACAAGTACACCAGTAATTTAGTCTCGAAAACCTTCTAGGTGAGAAGTTATCAAATGAATACTACCTCCATTAATTTTAATGAAAAAAGTGACATATTTTTCTCAATCCAAAATATACAGTTTTCATAGATAGCAAAATCAAATAAATAATGAAAATTTTGTGTAGGAAATGAAAGTAAAAATGAATGCATTTAGTTTGATCACAGAGTGTAGTCTGTGTAATGGAATGAGTTACTGTCCTTCCCAAAGGATGAGGCAAAGACTTTTTAAGGTGCACAGAAAACATTTGGTTTCTCCCCAAACTCTTGAGTGGAGAAAATTGGTGAGTATGTCTTTGTCCAAGAGTGTAAAAACTTTTTATAGAATATTTAAGACGTTTTGGATGAAGACTTGAGTATACTAAAAAAATCTTTTGTCGTCTGAAAAGCAGTGTAAGTTTTCAGGTGTGTTCGGAGCAGAAGCTGTTGACCAGTTGGAGTGTGAGGTGGGCCTGCGTTTGGGCGTTTGGAGAGGGCCTGGCCCGGGCATGCTTCTCTCCGCGACGCACAGCAGATCACTTCTCCTTCGACAGACACCTCCTCCGGCTCGGAAGACGAAGGCTCAGTGCAGGGTGACTCCCAGGGCACCCCCACCTCCAGCCAGGGCAGCATCAACATGGAGCACTGGATCAGCCAGGCCATCCACGGCTCCACCACCTCCACCACCTCGTCGTCCTCCACCCAGAGCGGGGGCAGCGGCGCCGCCCACAGGCTGGCTGACGTCATGGCCCAGACGCACATAGGTGAGTGCCCTGCGGGGCTCCTTGTCCGCAGTCTTCTCATCCTTTTAGGTCTGGGCGCTACGGGGCAGCTGGGCCCTTTCTCTGGGATTTCCCTGTCTGTGCATCATGGCCGTGGAATCGCCCGAAGGCAGCTCAGCCCCGCTCACTCTCCTGGGCTGCTTTGCTGCCTTCGGGCGGTTTTCTGTTGTGTGAAACCCTTGGTTTTACCACTTTTTGGGCCCAGACGTGCTACCACTGTAATTTCAGGAGTTTTCTGCTAGTAGAAGAATGCATTCTTGTTCACTAGGGAAACTTGCAGCCGTATCTGGTTGTATGTTTTCTTAGACTCACCTATGCTAAAATACGCTCTTAAGTGAAAATTTAATTGTGCTGGTAAACAAGGTGGGGGACTTCAGAGTGAGCCTGCCCTCACTGTGGGGGTCACTGAGGAAGGGGAAGCTTTCATCACTGCTGCCTGTGCGGTCTTCTGCTGTGGGTGTGGGGATTTCTGGGGCTGTTCATGCTACTTCGTGTGTGACGTCCCTGATGAGTGAGATCCTCTGTATTGAAAAAGCAGAGTTAGCATTGGCACCACGTTTGGAAATAGTGTGAAAGTGAGACTAGGTAAGAAACACTAGAGGAGAGGCCTGTTGGATGGCAGTGGGCCTTGTGAGATGGGGTGAGTACCGCCCAGGGTTCTCTGCCTCTGCTTGAGGCCTGCAGCTCAGTGTGCCACGCTCATCAGGTGTGCAGTCCACATCTGTTGTGGCCCATTTCCAGCTGTGGATTAAGATTTTTAAATATTTCAATAATAAAAATAGTCATAAATTACTTGCTTTGAATGTGGTGCCAAGATGGTTCAGTATGCTCTCTATTCAAACGGCGTGGACTAGGGTCAGTGGTTGATAACTGAGCACAGGACAGGGGCACACTGTCCTCTCACATCTGAATTCATATCCGAAAAATCCACTGTAGAAAACGGGTAAGTGAGATGAATGTGTTAAATACTTTGTGAACGTCTCAGACTCACAGAGTACTTACTTCTAGATTATTGGCTACTTGACAGAGTCAGGAATTCCAGACCGACTTCTTAGGACTTGGCCTCAACAGCACTCGCTCAGAATGAAGTTGAGGTTTTTCAGAATCACCGAGGAGACCGGTTGTCCACCTGCAGGACACGGGCAGCCGGTCAGGAGAGCTGGGTCTGGTCCCTGCTCGCACGCTAACGGCTGTTGGCTTCTTCGGAAGTCACTTCTTCCTGCCTTGGTTTTCTGGTGGAAAGAGAAGGTGATTTTTTCCTTTGTACCTCTCCATTATGAGTAAAAAGAAGAAGATTCTTCACAGTTCTTAAAGTACCACTCACGTGCAAAGTGGTACTATTAAATTTCAACTTAAAATGCTTTCGGTACCAGGCACTGGTTAATGTGCACTGAGAACTTCTGCTTGAAATCACAGTAAGAATCTTACTATGTACATAATAAAAACAGAAATGTGTGACCATTAAACGTTTTTAGGTACTAAAATTTCTTCCTGTGTGTGTTTTGGAGCCTGAGTCAGTTAACTTTTAAGGAAATATGAGAATCTTACCAAGAGAAACACATAATTTTAAGCAAATTACTCTCTGCCTTTGGATCCCCTTTTGTGAATTTACACGTGGAATACTGGAGGAAATTATAGCACAGAGAATTAAATTTATCCAGACCAAAAGGCTGCCTTGCTCGTGTGCGTGAAGTCTCAGAGTAACCTCAATATAGCTTCTGAGTGTATGACAGTTCAGTAATTTCTAATTTGGCACAAACATAAGTTCCTAGAATATCTGGAAATTTTCTATAAATGTGAAAGAAATTTTGAAAGAAAGCAGTGGCAAACTAATAAAGGAAGGAAAGGAGAATTAAAATACGTTACTCCTGTGGCAAAGCAGAAGAAGTACAAAGTCAGAACTGGCAATAATCCAACCTTTGGTCGCGGTCATTGAGAGCGTACACGTGAGGGAGTGTGTGTGTGTGTGTGTGTGAAGAGGTTCAGGGTCAGTAAACCACCGCCTGTGGGTCTGGTCCCTCGAGGTGAGGTACTTGGGAAGAGTCTGTAGACACTTCTTCCCAGTGAGGGAGGAAGACAAGCGGGTAAAGACCACGATGCGTCTGCCACTCGGGGCTGTTCTCTGCCGTTGCTGTGGGGTCTTCGTGACGACACGGCCGGGCATCTCCATGCGCACCTCCAGCCAGGCTGGTTGCCGGGCCACGCGGCCCTTGCCGGGCGGTCTTTCTGTCTCTGGCTCTGCGTGATGTTTTTCACACCAAAGACGTTGACGACGATGGCTCAAGACGTTCCTCCCTGAGATGCCGAGGCCTGAAACCGCGGATTTGTCTGCAAGACGGCGGCTCCCTGCAGCTCAGACAGGACTGCCCTCGCTCATCCAAGGCCCTTGCCCCACAGCGAGAACCAGAAAGTGTTTACTCAGAACCTCTGTGCATGGCACGTTCTTCAGACAATTTGAAAAGAAAGGATTAATACCTCTAAAATATTTTATCATTATCAAAAGTTGAGGAGCACAATTGAGAATAACCAGGAGAATTATAGCAATACTTTGAAACTTCAGGAGGCATATTTGTAGCAGGCATGAGAGTAAAATATTATAGGAATTAGCTACATAAAAGTGGAGAAGTTGCAGCAAAACTCTTAATACATTTCGAGACTGAGAAATAAGAACAAATCAGAATAGATAACCTACATTCAGGATCAAAGTGTGTATATTCAGAAAATTAAAGAGACTTCTGCGTGAGCTGTTCTTGTTTTGTGGTTACAGATGTGTTGGTAAGGTCTCTGTCATCCTTTGTCACTGACACATCTGAGACGTCATAGGGTTTCATCTGCATGTGTTGGGGGTTTATTGTCATTAACCAGATATTTGTAGAAGTAACTGCCGTTCCCAGAATATTACAGAACTTATCGGCGTGAATGCTGCTTTTGGTGTGTGCTGTTTGCATCAGCAGGGACATTCTCCTCAGGTCGCTTGCATCCAATCCTGCTGGGCTGATGGATGTGCGCCCGTGCCTGACGCGTGATCGTCATGGAGCCTGGCAGTTGCGCCTGAGTCTGGATTCCAGTTTTCCAGGGAATTTGTTCAGAGGACTTGAATAGCTACCACTGTGATAGATTTCCCTAACTTATTTATCTGTAATCATCCAGAGCACCAGAGAATTCTTTTATAAACTCTCTTCCAGTACTTTTCACACATTTACAGTCTTAAAGGATTAAATACACATCGAGGATGGTGATATTATATCAGCAAGGCCTGCACACTTGGGGCTGGGGTCTCCATGCCACACCCTCTCCCCTCCCCTCCCAGCCGGGCGTCCCTGCAGCTAGAGCTTCATAATTCTTAAGGCAGGTGGGTGAATTTCTTCAGTGAAGGCCAGAGAATATTTTAGGCTTTGTAGCTCTGCTTTCTAGCCAAGAGCAGCTGTAGACAGTGAGCAGGGGGCTTGGCTGTGCACCCGCAGAACTGTATCAAAGCAGGTAGCAGGCCACCCCAGGATCCACAGTTTGCCGTCTCATTTTCTAGAGACTGTGAAGCCACACTGCTGAGAAAGTAAGTGGGAAAAAGTGCATTTGACAACACGTGGCCGACTGGAGACTTGTCCGTGAATTCCTCCTGCGCGTTTCTTCGGGCTCCTTGGGTGATTTCAGTACTCGGAGGAGCCTGGCTTTCTCATCGGCCGGCGTGACTGGGAATGTCTGGTTAGGTCTCTGTCTGGCTCGGAACCCTGCCTCGTCTTGGTCGGTTGGTAGGACAGCCGAGGGCTGCACGGGTACACTCGGCTGAAGCTGAATGAACGCCCGTGGGTCTTTCCCGTCCGCTCGTCAGACGTCTCTGACCACCGATCCTTGTCTGACTCCGATGTTTCCGCGTCTCTCTCCATTCATGTTGTGCTGCTTTCTTCTGCAGAGAAGAAAGCTCCTTTTCCAGGGGTCACCTTCTCATCCTCATCCTGGGTCCCAGCTCCTCCCGCATCTGCCAGCTCACCTCTTTTCTCTTCTGTGTCTTCATTCCCCCATTGGTGAACCGGAGCTTTGGATCGCCTGCCTGCCCCACAGCCTGGTCCCCCGCCCCCAGTCCTGCCTCTCCTTCTGGTGGCTCCTCCCCCCACCGTCTCTGCTTGCTGGTCTCATCCACGCCCACAGGTTTCAGGGCTGCCTGCTCTTTCAGGACTTCCAGGTCTGCCCTGTTTTCACCAGTCCACACTTCAGACTGCTTCTTGCCCCTGCACGTCAGCCCCCCATACCCTGAGGTCAGCTCATCTGATGAGGAGCCCTCAGCCATCCTTGGCTTTTGCTCCCACCTACCAGCCATGTCCCTGTTCTGGGCGTGTGGCTGCCACGTGTCTTGCAAGCCTTCTTCCCCTCCATCACTGCTCCTGGGTCCAGGCACTTCACCTCCCACCTGGACTGCTGCAGCCCCTTCCAGCCTCGTATCTGTCCCTTTCACGATGTCCTGTACCTTCTTGCTATTAGAGGACAGATCTGCTCCTCTTTTCCCAAAAACTGCTTTGAAATTTTTGCTGCTCAAAACTGATTTTGCTAATTGGGATTTCATACTTAGAATCAAAGTAATGATTTCTGCACCCTCAAGTACCTTGACATTGGGTATGGTGTGTGTCCCGTGCTGCAGGAGACTTTGTTGGGCTGCAGCACCTTGGTGCACACAACAGAGAGACGCCTGTTCAGTCCTTCTCTTTCCCAGTGTTCAAGTGCACTTGACTCAGAAAGTAGCGACACAGTCCTTCACGCTTTATGCTGTGAGTTTCACAGATTCTTTCCTGGAACTCGGGAGAGGAAAGGGTCCCCACACTGCAGGGTGTCAGGGCGCGGTGTCACTTGTGCCCTCGGCCATGGTGAGAAGTTAGCGGCGGCATTCTTGTGCCTTCAGAAGGTGGAGGTGATGCCCAGGGCACCTGGCCAGTGAGCGGTCAGCAGGAAGCATACACAGACCTGCCCGATGGAGGACTCCTTCCTGCTTGAGACACTCCAGTTTCACTCCCTCCTTGGCGCCTTTGGTCAGCCTTGGCCCTGCTTGTTAAAAACAGAGATCATTTCAGACCAAAGGGCAGTTAGACTTTGCATAAGCAATAAAAACTTCAGTGTCCCTGTCACAGTCCCGCTGAGTCTGGTCTGTGCAGGCCTGTGAAGATTAAAGCCCTTCGTCATGAACTGGAGTTTGTGGACATGAAAACCAGGATGCTGTTGTCTGCAGCTGGAGGTTCCTATTCTGATACTGAACGTCCGAAGATTGTCTGATGGTCACCATCCACCTTTATGGGATTTTTGTGGCATAAATGTGGGAGGGAGGCAGTTCCAGGTCTGAGACCTGTGTAATCCTGCTCAAGTCAACCTCTCAGAGCTTCGGCCGGAGAGACGTTTGAACGTAGAGCCAGCCAGCCCGCCTGACCATCTCCAGGTTTGGTCTGCACACGATTGCCGGCAAACCTGAAGAGCAGCTGTGAGTCGCCATTAGCAGCGCTGCACACTCCCACTCCCACTCTCGCAGGTGACGGGCTGTGCGACTCTCTCCCCGAGTGATTACAGACGCTTTCAAGATAGACCCTCACTCCAGCATCGTCGCACGTCACTCCTGGGGGAGACTCCAGCAGCGCTTCCCTCTTGGAGCCACGAGAGGAGGCGGTCCTGGTGACGCCGAGGCGGAGGCCCGCTCGTCTGGCGAGCTGCGCGTGGGAGGTGGGCTGGGTGGGCCTGAGCGGTCTTGCTCTGCGAGGCTCCTCCCTCCCTCAGCGTTGTGTCACCTCCCCGTTTTCACTGAGGAGCCCAGTTTGCCGCTGCTGCGTGGAGGGCGCAGCCCCATCGTCGAGGAAGCTCGGCGGGCAGGTGGTCTTAGGGCCTGTGTCACTTCCGGCTCAGACAGTGGAGGTAGGGTTGACTGGGAGCCTTGGGTGGGCCCTTGCTGGCGTGTGGAAGGCTGGGTTCCCGCCAGCACGTCCCTCCTCAGCCACCGTCAGCCCACCATAAGCACGTTGCTTTCTTCACGTGAAAACCAGATTTCCTGTTTGCCTTCTCTCCACTGAAGTCATCTGGGGACTAATAATAACAGGCTGTGAAAAGTAGGGTCTCTGTGATCACTGACCCCCGAGATTCCCTGTTGTACAGCTGGAATTAAAGAAAGCTGCTCTTCAGCCGGCGTTGGAACAGAAGCATGTTACCTCTGGTCGGCAAGTGCTCTCTAACGTGTTCATTCTTTGAATTGCTCCTCCAGCGCTTGCTCGGCACACGCAAATGTGGGCTGTGTGTTGTGCACCGGCAGCGTCTGCGTGGGACACAGTAGGCTGGACTGAGCGGACGCCCACAAGAGCAGGGGTCTAGGAAGGGTTAGTTCAGGGAAGCAGAGAATTTCCAAGGCAGAGTTGAGCAGGGAGACCAACCAGTGTCCTGAAACAATCATGGCCGGAAACAGCTGTCAGCAAGAGGCAGATCGAAGATAAGAGTAACAGACCAAAACGCAGAGTGGGCGGGGTGCGGTGCGTGAGTGGGACCCCTGGTACTGATGGCGCCAAGACCCTGTGCCTTTATTCCCGATTCTTAAGGATCCCGTGTCAGCTGCTGGGAGCAAAAGCCATGCAGGGGTGGATGAGATGGGATCCACCCACGTGGGAGCAGATGCAAAGGTGTCACCAGTAGCTCAGGGGCGGTCACAGTGGAGGTGACACTTGACAGGTGGCCGGAAGGATGCTGCCATTCTTTTGTTGATTTTAAAAGCACTGGGAGATTGATCTAAGGGACAGTGGGTCCCCTGGCACAGAAGGTATCTTCAGAATGTTCCTGGTGTGCGTGGGCCTGGCTGGCCTCGGGCCTGGGACTGGTGAGCACTTAGACCTTGAACCTGCACTGCCAGCCCCACCCTACCTTTTCCTTACCCATCAACAGGTGTTTCTTGAACATCTGTTACATGCAGATGTCCTTTAAATACTCCCACAGACAGGTAACTGAGTTAAATGCTTGGAGTGAATTAGGGCACCGTGTACCGGTGCCGTGGGACTTCCGACAGAGGCCAGCTAGCTGCTGGGTTTGTAGTCCTGTAGTGACAGCATACACAGGGAGTCTGAGGGGCGGGCTGGCATATAAATAAGCTGGGAGAGCACTTTGAAGTCACGCAGCCATCACTGTTCCTATTTGTTAATCACCAGATATGTTGGAATTACTATTCTTCCCAACTTCAGAGTAGAAACACCGCAGTACTTCTGCCACCTGACACAGACTCACCGTCGACGTGGCTCCAGCACAGCACAAATACAAGTAAATCTGAGTGGAACAGAAGAGACACTGCGAGCGGGTGTGTTAGCTGCCCTGGTTTTGTGTGACTGATCTGACATTTTGCTCATCACACGTTGGCATTTTTATGTTTTCATTTGAAATACGAGCCCCCAGTGAGTTGCTGCTCAGCCCTAGAGACTTAGATTATTTTGAAACACGTGGCAAAATGTTAGGTGAAAGCACTGGTAGGGGTGATGAAAAGGATGGATTCAGTGCCTGAAACTTGATTAAAGAGGTGATTTGCGAGGTCCTCCTCTCTCCCTCTTACTCTTCCCTCAGTGGTCTGATAGAGTCCCAGCCTCACCCTCCTCCCTCCGACAGGTGCTCTTTTTCTGGGTTAAGAGCTAAGAAATTGCCCCTAAGGGTATGTGTCAGTTGGCTCAGGTGGCCACAACAAAGCACCTTAAACACAGCTTACACAACACACGTTCATAGGCTCACAGTTCTGGAGGCCAGAAGTCTGAGAGCACGGTGTCGGCCATTTCTTCTGTGGCCTCTCACCTAGGCGTGTAGACGGCCGTCTCCTCTGTGCGTGTCTGTGTCCTCATTTCTTCTAAGGACACCAGCGGGTTGAAGTAGGGCCCATCCTAATGACCTCGCTGTACCTTAATTGCCTCTTTAAAAACCGCATCTCCAAACACAGTCACCTTCTGAGAGCCCGGGGTTAGGACTGCAACATGTGAATTGTGAGGGGACACAGTTCCGTCCATAGCAGGCTGGACACTGTTGGAAAAGGAGATGTGAGGTGGGGACCTTGGCTCCCCACTGATGGGCCGTGTTTGGGTTGTTATCTTTACAGAGATCTGCAGTTCAGACCTGGAAAGATAGCTTCTAGCGTGGAGAGCGGCCCAGGCCTGTATTCTCTCCTCTCACATCTCTGTGCCTAGTGACAGCAGTGCCAGTGTCTGTTTATCTGCGTAATTGCCACTGTCCCCTAATCACCTCCTTTCACAGGACAGGGAACTGCCCCCGGTGATCAGCTCTGAGCGTTGGATCTGAGGACCAACTGGGCAACTCCTGACGGCCGCAGCCTGTGCACACTTTTACACACCTGCTGATCAGGGTGCCTGGCGTCAGGGGACTCCCGAGTCCAAGCACCCGGGATGCACTGGTCACGCTGGGTTGCTGCGTTTGAAACTTGCCTGGGATCACCGACTGCTCTTCTGCGGCCTCATGTCTCCTTCGTGTGGGCCCCTCAGCACACGCGGGCTCACTGCCACGGAAGGCAGTCGTCTCTCCTGGCAGATTCCGTACTTGCCAGCCCGCCTACTTGTTAAAATTATTTTCAGCCTAAACTTAGTACCCGTGGGCCTTCTCCAGGTCGTTTCCAGACATTTGCACAATGACTAAAATCTGAGTCCCTGACGTGCGGGTTCCCAGCAGAGTCAGCAGGGCGACCCTCTGGCTTCTTGTTCAGCACAGCCCATAAACGTGTCCTTTACACGAGGCCCCTGTGTCCCTCCTCTTGTCCTTTTCTTTGATGCCAGCTTAGAACAGCCCTCGTGTGGAGTGCTGAGGGGGCCAGCGTTCAGAGGAAGAAGGCCTCCAGTGCCTGCTCCCCCTTCAGCAGCACGAGGTAATGTGCTTCTGTCGCGTGGAACTGTGGGATCTCGACAGCTTTCTATCTAGCGAGGATTAACAAGCCAAAACTAGCAGTGTACTACCCGTTACTAGAGCTTAGCACCTAGAAAGTGCCACCGGTAGTCTCACTTGACATACTTTCCTTCGTGCCTTATTTAATAAACACAAAAGCGTGCTGTTCCTGTTTAACCGTTTAAGTGCTTAACTTTATCGTCAAGGAATGTTGTGGGGAAGGACTGCTGTCGTCTGATTGTGCAGAACACGGCACCCCATACCCATTAGGTTAAACATGTGTTTTGGAAATGATTGGACAGTTAAGTGTTACTCATGCTGAAACAGGTGATAGACTAGTTCTGTTCCTGCATGTTCAGCTTCCATTAAGAAATGCTCCAACTTTACACGTTGACTCACTTTGTCTACCTTACAAGAAAGTAGTCACTGTTGTTCCTATTTGATGGATGAAGAGATTGAGGCAGAGAGAGGTCAAAACACTTCCCAAGATCTTAACAGTTTTGCAGAACTGGGATTCAAACCCCAAGCTCTCTGCCTCTAAAGCTTGAGCTCCTAACTGCCTCTGTGACAGACAAGGTTACTCTTTGGTGAACACATGACTTGCAATATCTCTTTTTCCACTGGCCGCTTGAAGACATTATTTTAATAAAGATGCTGCAGTGATTCATTGTTATGACTTCTGTTACGATACTATGTCTGAAGCTTTACTTACCTTTGTTCCATGTTGAGTAGTAGAAGTTATTATAAAGACCCTCTTTTTGAATGTACTTTGTACTTTACCAAAGTGCAGTCAGTTTACAGCGTTGTGTCAGTCTCTGGCGTGCAGCGCCGTGGTGCCATGCTGAGACTTCTGTGGTTGTCTGTGATTCACAATCTTGGCTTCTTAGGATGTGGCAGTTTTGAAACCCTGTTGCTTGCTTAGCCTTCAGAGTAACTCTGTCATGATAGTCAGAAAACGGACTGTTTGCTTTTTCACAGAAAATCACTCTGCGCCCCCTGACGTAACCACTTACACCTCAGAACACGCGGTACCGGTAGAAAGGCCGCAGGGCTCCACGACATCCAGGACAGCCCCGAAGTACGGCAACGCTGAGCTCATGGAGACCGGCGACGGTATGTCTTCCCGCGAGTGCTCCCTCCGCCGCCGTGAGCGCCACCGCACTGCCCCTGGGGGCACCGTCAGCTCATTAGCTCTCCATGGTCCTTAGGAGCCTCCCTAGAAGGGGGCAGTCACAGGAAGTGCAGACTGTCTCCCCACGGGCCAAGAGTTACTCCTTGTGGGAAAAGTGTCCACGTCGTAGGACGTTAGTCATGAGAAGAAAAAGATTTTGCAAGATTCTGCTGGGTTTTTTCCTAATGAATGACTCCTGTTGGTGCCACAGTTACGAAATTTGTGCAAATGTTAAGACTGTGAACAGTTACTTGGAAGGGCAAGATAGAGCTTAATTAAATGCAACCAAAATAACTGACAGAGACAGGCAGTGATGCTTCAGACTTGGGAAGAAAGAGGGTCAAAGTCTCAGTGATTTGGTAAATACACCCGTTAGGGTTCTCTGTTATTCCTCAAAACTTTCGTCTTAATATGTCTGCTGTGACTACAGTGGCCATTTCTATTACCCAACCTAGAGTAATGGACTTGAGCTTGAACCTCAGGCTTTATTATGCTTTCCTTAATCTCCCAGGGTCACGAAGCTTAGACTAGAACCCGATGACATAAAATGTTGTTTTCTTGGAAGACGACCAGAATAGCCTAGCGTGCCATCCATGCCACTATGATGCAGAGGTGATGAGGCCTGGACCAGCCTCTCAGGCAGACGCCGCTGCATGTGGGCAGAGCGCAGAGGTGCCTGTCCTGGGTCCTCCGTCAGTACATTTGAAGTCCCTCCAGTTTCCGTATGACTGGTTTCCCTGAAATGCTCTCAGTCTCAGTGTTTGATTTAGTTCTGTATTAAATTCATTGTTTGCTGAGCTGGTCATTACTGTTGTCATCCCCGTTTAGTAGCTTTGTTGTCTTTGAAGTTCATCATCTTCACCTGCTCCGCCAGGTAAATTCGCATGATGTCCAGTCCAGTGGTGCGATGGCCTCGTATCGGAACCACGCGGGGAACTTGTTAGATTCTGGGCCACACCTCAGACCTAGCATGTCAGAAACTCTGGGCTGGGTCCTGCGATGATTCATTTCTGTCGAAACTGAGCTGGAGAACCGGTGGCCCTGTGAAATGATCTCTAAGTCATCTGAACCAAATTGAGTGAGACTGTTTAGTGGGGAAATAATGTGTTCATATATTGGGAATTCTGGGTTGTCTATTTTTATATATTTTTAAGACTGTAAAATATTTGATGTCTCAATTCTGAAAATGCCCATAGGGTATTTTGAGACTACCCAATAAAATGGTTTTTATTTGATAGAAAAATTTCCTTGAATTCTCTCGCATTCATTCCAAAAGCTGAGTCCTGTTTCTGTGACACTGTGCCTTGCAGAAAAGGGCCCCACCTGGGTCACTGCGGAAAAGACCCCGTGGGTCGTGGCTCTGCAGGCTGTGAGCTGCAAGGTTTCCAAACCCATAGTCACCAGGTGTAGGGTACCTAGCGCCTTTCAGCAGGAGTGAGGTTTGCCCACGTAGGGTGCATTTGATCCAGTGAGAGATTCAGCACCTTGATGCTCCTTTTGTTCACTCATTTGAGATACTCACTGAAAAATTTTAAACTTCATGCCTTTCTCAGTGATCATTTCACTTACTCATTTTTCTAAACGATGTCACATTTATTGTTGTAGGAAGTGTATTGTTATAAAATGGGGTTTATTTTTCTTAGAACATGTGGATAAATATGTGTTAGTTCTGTGTTATTACAGACATAATACTTAGGGACTTTTAACTGCTATGCTTCTAGAATGCATTGCCTAAATGTTCACTGTGAAGAATGTGGCTGAGAGACACATGGGGGATCTGACCCGGCTGTCACCTGCAGGAGGACAGGGCCTTCTGGCAGCACTTGGAGACCCCAGTCCCCTTGCTTTCATCAGGAAGTGTGGGGACGGCAGCTAGGGGCTGAGCACAGGTGGTCTCAGGAGAGACTGGGATTTGGGGAGGGTCTTGCTGCTCTATCAGCTCTCTGATCCCTGTAGACAGAGGGAACCCCAAGACACTATGAATGCGGAGATGACAGATTTAGAATAGAGGTAACCCTGTTTTAGAATAGAGGTAACCCGGAGCTCAGTCTGCAGTCTGGGGCTCTTCCCAGTGTCACCAGAGGAGGACAACTCTTAGGGTGCGAAAGAGAATCATTTCTGCTACTCTTCTGCCCTCTCTCGAGGCTTCCCAGCAAGGTCACGCACTGGGCCTGCCCGCCTGCGGGATGCTCGGAGTGCTCTCCCAGAGCAGCTGTCGTCTTAGGTGACGCTGAGATGGGGCGGGCGTGCAGGTGTGACGGCCGGTACTACTGACACTGCTCGTTCACGCTGGGATGTGCTGGCAGTCAGACCATCTGCCCCATGGTTCTGTTTTTCAGGAGTGCCAGTAAGTAGCCGGGTGTCAGCAAAAATCCAACAGCTTGTCAATACCCTCAAAAGACCCAAACGACCACCATTACGGGAATTCTTTGTTGATGACTTTGAAGAACTGCTCGAAGGTGAGAGAGCTCGGTCCTACCCTCTTTGCCCAGTGTTTCTGTGACCTTGTTTTTACTTCTTAAGAACAATACTCTTGGTGTTCACTAGAAGAAGAAATACTATCTAGAGATTGTAGGTACTGTTCCCCAAGGCCCCTGGTCCCCCCTTGTCCTGTGCTCAGTCCCCACACAGCTGGGTATTTTCCCAAATGGACCACTGATGTGTCACCCTCAGCAGCATGTGATTTTGTCCCATGAGCCAGGCCTCTTTGTAAGGATGCCACGATGTTATAGGAACACAAGTAAATCACGAAACCTTAGCTCACAGCAGCACCTTCTCTCTGACAAACTCAAGAGGGATGTGAGGTGAGCTGGCAGCCTTCCTGACTCTCTTTATAGATTCAGAAACTGGTGTCTCAACCCCTGAACACTCATGAGCCTTTTAACACAAATAATTTAAAGTTGAGATAAAGTACCGCTTATCGTGTCAAACCCAAAGTCTTTACTTTCTTGTTCTTTATACCACAAGTGAGTAAGACATAGTTGATTTTCTAGCCAGCCAGGAAAACTGTCAGTCATGAATCATGAGAGAAACCTTCCCCAGAAGTCAGAAGAGTAATCTCAGATTCTCACCTATCTAAAGAGTGGGACAAATTGTTTTTTTATTGGAGGCATTTATTTTCGTTTTACTGAAGAAAATATGCACTGTGCCAGTTATTCATAGTAGTTACATCAAATTTGTTTATATCTCAGCATTTAAGGGCAAAATAAAATTCAGTGAGTTTTGAGCCTTTTGAAATCTAAAATTACTACTGTATGTTGATAATTGATGTATTAAATGTGGCTATTGCAGTCCTAGACTCCAGGCATGTTAAAACGCATAGCTTTACTTGTCAGTTTGTAAGTGCGCTCGGGTCTCCCTAGGTTGCCCATCCAGACGTTGCCTTGGAAATTGTAAGAATTAATTGCTTTTGTTACATCCATGAGGCTTGTATGTAGGTCATAGCCATAATCCAGGAAAGCATATGTGCATGTTTTCTGCCCACTAATAAATTGTTTATACCTTAAGTATAAGTCTCCTGGCTTCTTTAAAAAGGATAAAAAAGTGATTGTGCTAATACGGATGTCTTTTTCTTGAAAACCTTTTGTGTTCAAATGTATTCAGTTCAACAGCCAGATCCAAACCAGCCAAAGCCGGAGGGAGCCCAGATGTTGGCGATGCGTGGGGAGCAGCTGGGTGTGGTTACAAACTGGCCCCCATCCTTAGAAGCTGCGTTACAGCGGTGGGGGACCATCTCTCCGAAGGCCCCATGCTTGACCACAATGGACACGAACGGGAAGCCTCTGTACATCCTCACTTACGGTAATCCTGGTGGTCCTCCGCCTCGTATCTCCTTCTCCTGGGTCATCCGCCTCGTGTCTCCTTCCTGTGGGGTCGCCCACCTCACGTCTCCTTCCTGTGGGTCATCTGCCTCCTGTCTTCTTCCTGTGGGGTCACCCGCCTCACGTCTCCTTCCTGTGGGGTCACCTGCCTCAGGTCTCCTTCCTGGGGAATCATCCACCTTGTGTCTCCTTGGGCCTGCACACAACTGCCACTTTCATATTTGCTCTGCCCTGTGTTTCCAGTAAGGAAATAAATGGAATCTGAAAGGAAATATTTTTGGGAAATTGTTTGGTTTGCATGAAAAGCTATTTGTTAAATGTTTTTGAATAAAATCCAGAAAGTGATACAAAAAATTAGATTGTAACTCTGGTAAGATGTTGGATTTTACCTCTTGGAAGGTATTGTGATAGTCTTAACATTAAATGCTTTCAAGAAGGGTCAGTAGTTAAAATATATCAGAACTCATTGACCTACATCACTCAGAAAAAAAAATCTGTTCCAAAGGGCTTTTTCAAAAAGCAAGAGAAACAAGGTTTCCTTTAATTCCTTATTCAGTACTATTAATGTTGTCTGTAAACTTTTGGAAATAGTTAACTGTACCAAGAGAGATTCCTTATTCTCTGCTCTGTGGATAAGGGGCCATCGAGAAAGCAGATTGGCAGGTCATTTTCACACTCCCTGCTGCAGTTTTGCAAGGAAACCAGCTTCGTAACTAAAAGACCAAAATGGCCCCAATTGTATCTGCGTGTATGAGGTGAGATTACTGATTTCTAACTTTCAGTTTTTTTTTTTTTTGACAATAATACTTCTCTAACTGCAGGTAGGAAAGAATTCGATTTCTCCATCGTCAGTGGAAGTCAAGAGCCCAGTGTTACGTTAAAATATGTAGTCCTGCCTTTTGGTGGGTGTGGGTCCAGGAGGCACGTGGACAGAAATGGGGCCCTAAGCATCTCATGGACAGAAATGGGAAACTCGAAAGTTTTACCATAATCTTTGTCTGAATTTAAGGATTCCACTAAAAAAAAAATCCTAGAACTCTGAAGTTAGGAAAAGTTGAAGTTGAGAAACTCAGGGCTTGGGGAGCACAAGGGATCGAGCCTGTCCTAAGTACCCTTCACGTTCACTGCAGTCATGCAGGGCAGGACCCGTTAGCAGAGGAATACGTGTTGTTGTGCACAACGTGAAGTGGTAGTGACTCACTGTTGCCGTGGTCCCTGCCCGACTGAACTCCCGAGAAACCCCCCCACTGCGTCTGTGATGGCAGGGAACGTTCCTGTGGTTTGCTGTACCTTCTTAGCCCCCTAGGAGTCTCTGTGTTTAGGACCTTATTCTAGTGTTCAGGCTTCTCAGATTTTATGAGTCAAAGTTTCTGGCTTTGCTTCCCATCTTGATTCCAGGGACTCAGAATAACTTGAAGACTTAAAATGAAAAAATACAGTACTCTCTAATAGGCTAATGTGCACACAGGTACATAACAGAGAGTGCATATGTCCAATTAGTCGTGTCTTTATCATTTGTATTGACAGGCAAACTGTGGACAAGAAGTATGAAGGTTGCTTACAACATTCTGCACAAATTAGGTACAAAACAGGAACCTATGGTGCGACCTGGAGATAGGGTAAGTGCAATTTAAATTACCGCGTCTGCAAGATACACGGCCTTATGTGGAAAAGACACCTACTGTTTTAAGGTTGCAGAGTTCAGTGTCTTCTAATACTCACACTACTAAATCAGGCTTTCTTGACATTTACTATGAACCAGGAGCAGTTATGCAGTGTGACGTTTAATCTTCACAGTGACTCAGTGAGCTTAACTGTAGTATTTCTCACATTTTATCCATGAGGACCCTAGAACTTGAGAGTGTAGGAATCGTATCAGATGGAGGTACATACGTAGTAAGTGGTGTGGCCAGCGCTCGCAGCCATTTCTGTATGAACCCAAAGCCTGTGTTCCTAACCCCAGAGGTACGTGGTCTCCTAGTTGGAAATGTGCTGCGCTGTCTCGCTGAGCAGGCAGGGCAGTGTGTTTAGAACTTCTTAGTGTTAGTGAAACTGACAGCTCGGGTAGCCCTGCTGATACTTCCCTTTTCCATTTTGCTAAATTTCTTGATATAGGCCACTGTCTTTCACTGAAAGACAGAATTTTATTCTCACTGTAATCTGCTAAGTTACTGAGAACAGACACTACTATTTCTTTTTTAATGTTACACCCCAGAGCAATTAATAATCTTGCAAGCTTTATACCTGATTTAGATGTGATCTGGGTATAGGACCCAGTTTTATTGCCTTAATTGTAGTGATTTTTTCCCCCTATATATTGCTGTGTACCTTAGATTCCCCAAGACTGGGTTATCCTGCCTGCCCCCAAAGGACTCCAAATGAATTTCATAAAAATATCATTGTAGTGCACCATAAACCAACAAGAGCACAAGCTGTGATGTACTTAAGAAATGTAAAGACATGGGCCCATTATGGGGAATTTTTAATAAGATAACTGCAGCCCCAGGATTCTGTGGTGGGCTATAATTCTTTCTGATTTTTTTAATGAACAAGTTTGACCTCTGGCTTTTAAGTCAATTGTCGGTCTCACGCTTCCTCATTATGAAACTTACTATAAAGTCACAGTAATCATAACAGTGTGGTATTTATACAAAGACAGACCTAGACCAAAGGAGTAGAGAGCCCAGAAATAAATCTGCACATGGCTTTTAGAAAGGATGCTAAGACATTAAATGGGAGAAAAGGATAGTCTGCTCAACAGATGGTGCTGGGAAAATTGAATTTCCACAAGCAGAAGAACAAAATTGAATCTTTATACCATATATAAAAAAATTAACTCAAAATGGATCAAAGACCTAAACTCCTAGAATAAAATATAGGGGAAAAGTTTCTTAACATTGGATTTGGCATTGATTTCTTGGATATGACACCAAAAGGACAGGGAACAAAGAAAATTGATAAATTGGATTTAAAATTAAAACCTTTTTTGCACCAAAGACCACTGTTGAGAATGAAAAGGCAACATACAGAATGGGAGAACATGTTTGCAAATTATATATGTAATAAAGGATTAGTATCCAGAATACATAAAGAACTTCTACAACTCAACACGAACCAAAAAGAAAAAAACATTTAAAAAATGGGCAAAGGACTTGAATAGATCTTTTCACAGGGAAGACTGACAAATAGCTAAATAAGCCCATGAAAAGGTGCTCAACATCACTAATCATTAGGGAAATATGTATCAAAACCACAGTGAGATAACACGTCGTACCCACTCGGATGGCTGCTATCAAAAAACAAACTAAGGAGTATTGGCAAGAATGTGAAGACCTTGGAACCCTTGTGCATTGCTGGTAGGAATTACAGGTGTAGCCACAGTGGAAAAAAGTGTGATGGTGTCTTAAAAAAGTAAACATTTGATCAAACAATTCCACTTCAGTATCAGAAGAATTGAAAACAGGGACTTGAATAGGTATGTCTGCAACAATGGCCATGCAGCACTGTTCACAAAAACCGAAACGTGGAAGCAGCCAGCCCTCCATGGACGGATGAATGGACAAATAGAATGTGGTGTGTGGTGTATTCATGTGGTGTGGCATTACTCAGCTTTAAAAAGAAAGGAGACTCTGACACTGGCTATAATGTGCGTGGACCCTGGGGACATGCTCAGTGAAATAAGCCAGTTATGAACAGGACGAATAGTAGGACTTTCAAGGAAGAATGAAAAGATGTATTTGTCTGTCTGTGCATATGAACCACAACCAGTTATTTAAAAGATGATCTGAGTTTGCACTGGCCTCAGGTGCTCTCCCTTCAACTGGTGGCTGGAGATCTGACAGCTTTGCTTTTAAATCTGGATCTGATGAAGCCACAATATTCAATTAAATGTCTGTAAGGGGCCAGGGCACCACTGCTGCAGATCTTCCTTCCCTGAAGCAGACCAAAGCAGAAGGCGCTGAGAAAATGCAGAAGATGTTGCAGTTCCATCCAAAACTGATGGCCAACAGAGGACTAGTTAACTACTGACTTGTTAGCCCTCCCAGAATATCCATCCTACAGGCAGGCGTCTTCATCAAGAGCCAGACAGTGCACGGGTCAATCTATTTCCAAGAGGAGATTCCACTTGGGCTCCTAGCCCAGTTCTGCTCAAAGGAAGGGCAACTTAAAGCAGGATTTAAAATTCCCACTACTTGATCACTCAGGTTCGTGCTGATAAAGCCACATCACTGAGCCTTGCAGAGTTGGGTTAAAACACGATGAAATGTTATGTTTAAATGAATAAAAGCAGAGTATAAAATTGTACATTACATGCTCTCAAGAATATAGAAGTAGTGAATAGGGTCAAATACCTAAAGGCTTTTTCAGAATCAACTCTGGGTTTCTCAAAACTCTGCAGCAGTGCTGAATGGCTTTTTGTTGGCCTCCCAGTTTCATTTCTCTCTCCTTTAGCTGATTTGAGTGAACGGTGGGAGTGCCACGTCGAAAGACAATCTTCACGTGATCCCAGACTTAATTTTGTTTCCACCAAGTATCTTGTTTTGGTAAGGCACCAACAGGGCCCAGTTTGAGACACAGTCACTCTGTCCTCAGCTGCCATCTGAGTCCTTTACGCAACCTGCATATTTAGATGTTGAGGTGATGAGGATGTCTTACCCAACTGTTCGTGACAAGGTTAGTAACGTCTAGTTAGGGCATATTTAAAGAAAAAATGGATTAAATTCCTGAATAAAGTAATGTAAAAATGATATGCATATGCTAAATCATGGGATTTACGTACTTGACGATCAACACGGAAGAGGAACGCCGATCCACAGCGGCACATGGGAGGAGCCCGTGTGAGAGGAGCAGCAGGCCTGCGGAGCTTCAGGGGGAATCTGGAAGCAGGGCTGCTCTTACTTCCTGGAGGGTGCTTCTAAAGCTGGAGAGCTGGAGGGACTGCTCCGGCAGGATAGCAAGTGGACCTGAGTTACGGTAGCTCCGCTGCGGACACCAACGTGAGCGCCACATGACTTAAATTGGATAAAGTATTCGCCAAACAGTAGGTGACAACATAGGGGAAAAGCTTGACAAATTTACATATGACACTGGATGCACAAAGTGAAACAGAAAACATATCAAGAAGTCTTTGCATCAAATGTAAGAGTTAATACTATGAAATATATTTAAAATTCACCCAGATTTTAGGGGAAATGTCAAAACACGAGCAAATACATAGGCCAAGGAAATGAGAAACAGTTCATACAAGGAAGAAGGAATATAAACCATCTGATGGAAAATTGTTCTTCATTAAGATATTCTTAAGGACTTACAGAGAACATTTAAAAAATCATACTATCCATTATTTGGTTATTTGGATGGTAATTTAAGTGAACCTTCTAGAACTCCGTGAGTACTCCTCATTCTTCAGAGCTGAGCTGGAGAGGCGATGCCCGGCTGGAAGATGCGAGGGCAGGTGTTGACTGAAGCCTCCCCTGGGAGGGCGGGAAGCCAGGGTGCTGCGGATGCAGACTGACAAGCCCCACCTGTCAGCGCCAGGAGGCTGAGCCGGGCTGGCGGTGGGGTTCACGGCTGCGCGCTGTGTGCCAGGCGTGGCATGAGCACTTACACACGTTTTCTCGTTGGACCTTTACTGCAACACTAGGATGTAGGTTCTACCAGTATTCTCGCTTTTCAGGTAAGAAAACCAAGGCTTGGGGATCGGAGTAGAGTCAGCTACCAGCCCGCACATCAATAAGGAAGTGTGCGGCATTCAGTCACGATCGCCAAGGCTCTGTGGAAGTGCAAGGACACGCATAGCGCCCAGTGGGAACAGCGAAAAACCAAGTGTGTGCAGCAGGGTAGTGTTATCTGTGGAAATAACGTGTCATTGTGGAGGATCACGTGCAAACAGCAAGGGCAGTTGCGGCCTAGTGTGTGTCAGAGATAGCCCTGGGTGAGGTGTGTGCCTCCCACATAAGTCAGAGGAGGAGCGTCTGCTACTTACTAAAACACGTATTTTATCAATGACCCTAATTTTTGTTCCAGTGGCACCATGTCCGTGGTTAATCTCTCCTGCTTTGTCGCTCCAGGTGGCGCTGGTATTCCCCAACAACGACCCTGCAGCCTCCATGGTGGCTTTCTATGGCTGCCTGCTGGCTGAAGTTGTTCCCGTGCCCATCGAAGTGCCCCTCACTCGAAAGGTAAAGAACTGGATGTCCGCTCAGCTGTGCCGGAACGTTCTGTTGTGGGGTCAGACACCTAGGGTGTCTCACTGGTTCTCAGCAGAGGGGCAGCACTGACACCATGGCGTAGCTCAGCTGCCAGGCGAGCAGAGGTGGGCCTGCCTTGCCTGAGCTAAGTGATCCGCCAGTGAGCACGGGTTCCAGGATCTCGTTCCTCCATGTCACTCCACTGAAACCTGGGTAAACGAGGGATTTTTCACTTACTTTTATTTCAGGGGTGACGGTTGTTGCATTTGTTTAGGTGTTCAGACATCGTCAAGTCCCAGGCTCACCTGTGATTTGTCAGATCTTATTCTGTAACTAGAATAAATGACTAATCTTGCTGTTACAGTATAGGCAGTGTCAGGAACGAACTTTGTGCACATCCTGCACAACAGTGCGTGTGTCTTTGTCCCTGTGAATGGCACGCCTCCTGCTGCCACTTTCCTGTAGAAAGTGGTTATGGAACGGTTGCTGTATCAGCTTCCTGGGTACGAAATCTGCACATTCCGTGCGTGGCCTCCTGGGCGTGTGCAAGTATCAGGCGGGGCTGCGGGTGGCCCCCGAAGCGGGGAGAGTGAGCCCTGCAGCCCTGGACCCCAGAACCCTTCCAGTGCCCTGAGGGGGAGGCGCTGGTATCTGCGAGCTTTGCCTCCAGCACCTCACCTGCCTAGCGTCCTGGGGGCAGGCCCGGTATGTCTCACAGGTGCTTCCTAGGCTTCTGAGACTTGCCTGCCAGCCGTCTCTGGCATCTCAGGCTGTGACCTGCCAGCTGGCTCTGTCTCATTCTCCTCCCAGGTCCACTCACACCTTCACTGTGTCACTCTGGACCTCAGGACCAAAAAACCCCTCTTGGAAGAAACGGCGGTTCCCCCCGGCCCCCTCTCCCTAACGTTGTGCTGGGACAGAGCAAGAGGCGCCAGATTCTCAGGGAACCGGAGGCTGTGCGTTGGGCCTCGGTCTGTGATGTCAGAGACAACATTCGTTCTTAGAAATGGCGTCAGAGACGACGTTCATTCTTAGAAAACTTTTCATATTTTTAAATAAAAGAATCCGTGGGTGTGGGTACCGTTCAGCCTGGGCTAAGGTGTGCACTTGAGCACAGGTGAAGAAGTATATGGCTCCTCTGTCTGCCTGTCCTGTGCCCAGCAGGCCTGTCTCAAAATAAAGGGCCTAAAATTAACCAAATTTTCCAAGTCCTAACTGTCGCTTAGTGACCCTCACCAAAGTCTCCAGCCCCACGTACGTGTAGTTCTTCCCTGTTCTGATTCTTGGGGTGAGAGGAGTTCATAGCAGGAGAAGTCAGGGGTCCTCCAACAGTTGAGCTGTGTAGTCGGCAGGGCCGAGAGAGGCGCCAGCAGACGTCAGTGCCATGATGGGCAGATCTGGACAGGGCCAGCCAGTCCTCTTGAGCTGGCCAAGCAGATTTCCCTCTGCCCCCACCCCCCAGGGAGGAGCAAGGCCGTCAGGGGCTGCGGTCGTGCGTATTCTGAGTGCAGTAGGACCAGAGACACGGGGGCCCTGAGGCCACAGTCGTCCAGCCGGGCAGGGCCTGGCCCATCAGCGCTGGCCTCTGTGTGGCTGTAGCAGCAGGACGCCTCTGCTCAGGGGAGTCTCCTTTGAGAGGCACCGCCTCTGGGAGGCTCACCATCCTGCACCGGTGGAGATCGTCTTCCCTAGATTCTAGCACACGGCCCACTTGTTTGCTTTAATAAGGGTTTCACATACCCTGTTGGAGTGGAACATCTCTGGAGGGAGGAACAGTGACGTCTTGTCCCATACTTACAACCTCACGAGAAGCAGCCCATGAGCCCTCCCTGAGGAGCGCGTTTTCCTGCAGGAAATCAGAGGGAGTCGGCGGGGAGGGAAGGGAATGGGGCAGCCGGCGGGGAAGGTCCGCCCAGCTGAATGTGCTTGTGGGATCTATCTTAGAAGTCTCCGGTCTGCATATGTGCCTGTGTTTGGGGTAAGAGAGGAGACCTGGTGTGCCAGACGTTGATCACTGTTGAAGCCAGTGATGGATACATAGGATTCTTTCTCCTTTTCTCTACCTTTGTGTGTGCTTGGAAATTTCCATTATAAATAAAAAGTTTTAAGTTAGTTGGCAAAAAATACATTAATGGCATGCTTGTGTTGGTATTGATAAAGAAAATTCCTGGTGTCAGATTTCTTTGATCCACTTGGCTGTGTGACCATAATGATCTTCAGACTGACTGGTCTCCAGCCTGCCCTGTGCAGACCCTGCAGGGCAGTGCGTCTGGAGTTCAGCTCTCCGTTTCGTCTCTGTGTTGCTGTCTTCCCCCACCCCCTGAGGCTGCCAGCTGATAGGTCGGGGATCTGGGCGGACAGGGGTCGAAACTGAGCGAGCACCAGTTGGTAGTCGTGGGGCCACGAGTTCTTGACCGAGACTGTCCATGAACTCACCTCACGTTTATTAGGGAGAGAATCCTTTTCACAGTAGGATTGATGCTTTCTGTCTGGGAGACAGACGGAGCCAGGGGCAGGGGTGACAGTGGAGTGCCCCAGAAGTTACCTGCAGAGCCTGCGGGTGCAGAGAGACTGCCTGGCAAGGGACCTACTGACGCAGCTCCTGTACTGGAGAACGATTGGAAGAGAGAGAAGGCTTTGAACTCAGGTGTGGTCCAGCTCTTTGTGAACAACAAAAGAGTCCTTCGTGAGAACTTGTGGTCCTTGACGGCTCAGCTCTTCAGAGGAAGGGCCGGCCCCCAGCCCAGGCCAGAACAAGCCATTCCCGGGAAAGGCACCCAGGAAACGCAGCGGGAAGTGTCAGGGCCCGAGAGCTCCAGCCGGGAGGGGCTGTTCCTGTTCTTCCCAGGAGGGAGTCTTTCCCACGGTGGCATGGGCCCTCGCGTATCGTGGCTCAGGGCCCTGTCCCCAGGTCCCTTCTGGGACGGGGGCTCTGCTTCAGGTTCTGGGGTCAAGCTGGGTTAAATTTCAGGGATCCCAGTACAGGCAGGAGACACTCCGGCCACTCTGAGAGCCAGGGCGGGGTCTCATCTCAGCCCGACGGGGGTGGG